GGGATACACTGAAGATTGCGCGTGCCGACAGGAAATAATTAAACCTGTAATCTTCACAAGATGAGGGGCGACGTAGGAATTCCATAATACATAAGTGAAGATGCTGTGGTTTGCCGGTTTTCCATTGCCGATTGCTTGCATTTTAACAATGGACAAACGCTGCAAATCAGTTGAGTGTCTGTAATTTGTTGTATGCAGGCGAATTTGCAGTCATGCTGTCATTTGCGCCAAATATCGGTAACACCACATCCCATTTTGATCAGGTCCACCCACCACCCTCGTGGTCCTTTATCCCGGTCTTCACCCTGGTTACGCTCTTCCTCATCGTGATTCTAAACAGCGGCGTTCTACTGGTTTTTATCTGGGATAAACACTTGCGCACCCCGTTCTCCGTGTACTTAATGAATCTGCTAGGCGCAAATATTGTGATTGGTATGCTGCAGAATCCATTGGACATTGCCACCGGTTACGCCGGCAGTTGGTATCCTGGCCAAGCCGCCTGTACGGTGTATCTGTACGGCAGTTATGCGTTCGGCGGCGGAATACTGATCGCACATGTCCTGATCACCACCAACCGTATCTGGGCCATCTGCTTCCCGTTTTCATACCGAGCGTATCATACCAAGAAGGTGGCCGTTGGTGTGTGCGCGGGAATGTGGTGCTATGTACACGTTCTCATTTTACCGGGTAAATAATTGGTAACCACTAACCATTTCGTTCACAACGCTTTACTATCCTTTGCTTCGCTCCCAAGATCCTTTTTAAAGTGCTGTTCAATCCGTGAACTGTCTGAAGCCTTAGCATTCACTCGGCATCTTTCCTTTTTTTTCCGCTCTGCACAGATCGCACTCCTAGCTCCGTCAACAGCTTATCATAGATTTTCGAATTTCACTTTACAGACATGCAGTACACTCTTCACTACACATTTCGTGTGTTTGACAACATCACAGTTTCGTACATCAGAGTTTCGTACATCCAGTTCTGAAAGACCGTTTACTTGTATCACACTCACAGACTGATCAAAATCGCGTTTTGGCTGTGAAGGACGTTTCTATAAGTTGGGATTACGGTGACGTCATGTTCTTGTGGTTTTAAAGTAGATATTTTTTCTTCCGCAGCACACAGACATTTTGTATTTCGACAGAGCTGAAGAACCTTCGCTGTATCCCGGTTGATAATTGACGTCAGCATACTTGAATATCTGGTTTCTACCGAGTACATCCAGGAAACCCAGAAATGTAATTTTGTCTTGCACGACCCGAAAACCGGAAACAGCACCGACTTACGAAGAATTTCCAGAATTTGGAAGAAATTAATTGAAACCGAAGTGGCGAGAATTACGTAAAAAAAATCCAATTGGCGCTAACAGTAACAGTGGGTAAAGGAGTGCCAAGAGGAACGAGTACTGAGGAACGTGTACCGAGTCAAAGGCATTGAACAGAGTGGTCGCGCACGTAAATGACCATTGCAAAAAAAGCAAGATTCGAAAAGAATGCCTGGTGGCTAAAACTGCTCAAACAGACCTGGTCTCCAAATATCAACATGCTTCATTTTTTTGCAGGTTTAATTGTAGATGGTATGTACTATCGGTCCTCACTGGACGTCATGGGCTGCAGCATCAACATCACCATGCAGAGGGAATGGTCGGAAGCCGTCCACTGGCTGGTATACAACCTAGCCGAAATTATTGTCGTTGGTGCTTACCCGGTTATTTGTGTCTACCGCGTCCGTTCCCGGAAAGCCATCAGACACGTTCAGACCGCTAACGCTGCTCCGGAGCAAGGAAATCATCCAGGCACCCAGTCAAGCGAATCCTGCCATAAAACATCGCATGCTGCTGCCGGAAAGACAGAGAAGCATTCCTACGCTTTCATGGTGCTGACGCTGATGACCTGCAGTGTGTTGGTGTTCTGGACACCGATTATGGTTTTCTATGGTATGGCACCGTACGGACATTTTGATCTGACGTTTTACCAGGTGGCCCGAGCGGTGTACTCGTGCGAAAGTGTGCTGGATCCCATCTTGTTTGTAGTGGCAATAAAAGATATCTGGAGATCAGGACGACGGATGGTCGGGTTGTGATAATAAGGCTGCTGGCATATCTTAGACGGAATAGTGTAGATTAGTCTTTGTCGTTCACAAAAACCTTGGTTTTACTGGATAGGAAAGGCAACATATACTCGTCGTTAGGTTTCTTTATGCATTTCAGTTGCTTGTGTCGATTTTAAACTTACTATGATGGCGCTGCTGTATGTAACCACTAAGTACTGTGCATCTGTACATTGAAGAGTCCCACAAACAATATGACATCAGATTATTACTGTACATAAAACATGATATTCTGATCGAGTCTTTCGCAACCGATTTTTATAGGGTAATTTGCCATACTTCGAAATCGTAAGTGAGAAAATTTGGCCTATTAAAGTAGCGGCGCTTTAGTATTCACATTTGAAAGGAAGTTATCGGCAATATCAGAATACGATTAGGGCGGTATACTTTCGCTGCAATCAAAACGATTAAAATTTTTGATTGAGTTGCGACAAATAAATAAGAAAGGCAGTATGTTTACGATTGCAGATTCTGCTATAGGAATACAATGGTCCAAGCTTGGTACAGACGGTCACCACGTGACCTTTCCTTACAATTCTTTTCAGTATGACACAACCAAGTGACTAGCTAATTGCCGACTCCTCGAGGTGGCTTCTGTCGGCGCTGCTTAATCAGTACACGTGTGACTGATTCAGATTTCTTGGTATTTCAAAAAGCTTGTTATTGCTGCAGATTGCAGAGCAGCCCAACAAAATCGCGTCAACAGCCTTTCAATTAGACTTAAATCAATCCACAAAAGATACCGTTCCCGTATATCAGCTGTTGACGTCAACCAGTCTGCCAGGTCGATTCTCATCTGTTGAATCCAGATACAGAAAGACGAATAAAACGATTCTCACCAGTACTGATGTAGCGTGTTGTAGGTTAGCACAAGGTTGTCTTAATATGCACAGCATAAGCTGAGGGCTGATTAAACGATGACAAGAGAACATGTAGCGCTTACAACTAAAGCGTTTAATACACAATTCCGCTGCATACGCACCAACTTGTCATTAAGCCTTATTGTGACGTAGCAAAGGATGTTTAGTTTACCAAGTTAACGCCCGTAAACTGTAGGCTGTGTTGGTTATTTAAAAATAAGTTGATTGAAGATGTGGAATAATTCATCGAGCCAAACGAACCATACCACCACAGACATTATACTACCAAGGAATCTGATCGGAATGACGGTAGTGGGTTTCCCCTTGAATATGTTAATGCTGATCTTATTAATCTCCAAAGACAAAAGTGGGGTTACCGGCTTCAACGTCTACGTTATTTTTCTGCTGATCAGCAACGTTCTGTACATCGGAATCTGCAATACGATGGACATTCTCCGCCAAATGTACGGTGACCTGTGGCTGGACGTGACCGGATGCAGCGTGTACCTCTTTGCGCTGTATATTCTCGGCGGGGTCACCAAGTGCACGCACGCCCTGATCACCATTAATCGCGCATGGGCGCTGAAATTCCCGCTGTCATATAAAACTCACCATACTAAAAAAGTGGCGTGTGCTTTGCTTGGCGTACTTTTGGTATACGTGCTTGGGTTTCTTCTGCCTGGGTTGATTTTAGATCATCTGCTTTACCGGGGTCCGTTGAAATATGGATGCTACGTAAACACGGATGCTCAGTTCACGCTGATGCTGGTAGTGCAGTTTCTTGTATTTGACTTACCGTTGGTGACAATTGTGGGGATATATCCGTTCTTATTGTGGACGTATTGGAAACACACCCGGCGACGTTGGGAACGCGTAGTACACACACAAGTGCAGCACGGTGTTGCCAACAGGGAACGGATTCCTATGAGGAATTTACAGGGCCACGCGACAGCTGCGTCGCATCAAAAACCGGCGAATACACGACCATTTTTCTTATTGACTTTGTTGACCATTGGAACAGTTGTCTGCTGGGTGCCCATAACTCTGTTCTTCACAATGGCGTTTTTTGTTGAAGTTGATTATGCGGGAGAATTCTTCGAGCTGGCAACCGTTTTGTACATGTTACAAGCAGTCCTAGACCCGATGTTCTTTGCGCTGTGTTTGAAATCGGCAAGGAATTGGCTGTTGCGGCACTGGCATCGGCAAACAGTCCACGTTGATCCGGTAACGGGTGCGCCTGTTGCTCGTTCAGCAAGTCAAGGAACTTCGGGCGGTAACAGCCAGGAACAACCAGGTTGACTACGATCTTCTGTAATCGCCAACGCGATCCTGGCGTAGGAGCACAATAGTGAACATGCGCATTTTTAAATTTCTAAAAGTGCTACGGTATGTAATCAGGCCTAACCTCATAATCTTCTGTTCAAAAGCAATATTTCATCAGCAAGAGCGGGGCAGTTGCTGTTTGGTTTTTCACACTGTTTTGTACGTTTTGTTCATTGACGTTCAATAATTCAGTTGACTGCTCTAAACTTGCAGTTTGATTATACACGTATTCGTAAGCGTGTGTACAATATTTACCGTCTGTGTGTAGTAAAAAAAACCAATGATAGTTATTACCGTTGTGCAGCGGCTGTATACCACGATTATGCTGTTGACGGTGTGCAGATCTGCACTCCGACGGCCACAGCTGTCAGATTTCCCTTTAGGGCACTGCGTTGTAAAGCAAATTGTGTAGTGTACCAACTCTGCAGAATGTTCTTGACTGTTTTTTACTGTACGAACGGCAGCCGTTACTTTCGCCACACTACCGGTGTCCGGTGGTAAGGCAGGTCGGTGCACTATAAAGCCGGCATAATCATGGGCAAATTTTCTGCCAAACGCTGCCACAATCGTTATTTAATGACTTACACAACCGGCGTACACAGCACCTGCAGCTATTTACAATTGATTACGCTATTTTGGCCATGAAAATGTTTGCCTGTAAGCGGAATACCTCATACGACGCATGTACTCCTTTCACTGAGTTTTATTTTCTTAGTGTTGTGCAATAAGCACTCGCACTGATTTGACACGTTGCATTAACCATTATCTACGTAGTTTTATGAGTCCGTAATTTGATTTTTTACAAAATTTATAAAAATATTTCAGTGTTACGAACTGGTCTGCCAAGATGCTAGCGTTATCTTTAGCCATTTGCGCCATGAACCGCAACAGTCTTCCCTATATAACTGAGTGGATACTCTTCCATCATCTACAAGGTGTACAGCGCTTTATCCTCTTTGACGACGACAGTCATGACGACATCATGCTTCTCCCCGAACTGTTCCGTGACGCCGGTTTCGGCGACATGGTGTCGGTGTATCCGATGAACTTTCTCCGACGTCACCGCCCCAGTCTGCACGACAGCATTGACCAGTACGAAAACCAATTAGCCGTCATCCAGCACTGTAACGTCCGCACGAACCACTCCACAGATTGGTTGATCGTTATCGATACGGATGAGTTCATGTACTCGGAGACATTCCCCACCATCGTGGAATTTCTGGAAATGTATGGAAATATGTCGGAAAACGGGACGATGGTCAATAGTTTTCAGGTGCAGACGATTCGCTTTGGTACATCGGGATTAATCAATGATTTCAAGGGAAAAATACAACGCGATGCCGCCACATCTGCGGTGAACTTGTATCACTACGCTAATGGGAATAATGTTACCGACTTTCCCTTGTTGATTGAACTACAGGAGCGGCGCGCTCCGCATCCCGATTTGGATAAAGATTTCCCCGAGCTATTTGACAGAATTTGCCATGGTGATGAAATCCACTGTAATCATTCGTGGGGGAAGGCGCTGTACCGACCCGGAAGCTGTAAATCGGGATACATACACTGGTGCGGCGATCTTGAGGGTTTCCGGGCGGAGGTGCCGCTGCAGGATTTGCGCGTGGATCATTTCAGTTTCCGGTCGAAAGAGAAGTCTTTAGCGCTTGATAAAGAAAAAGACTGGCCGAAAACTGAGAGTTATGACTTGTTTGATGCCGGTTGGTTTTCTTTGATAAAAGATGACGCTAAATCGAGATTTGTACCACCGCTAAGAAAATACCTGGAGCGGTTCAAAATAACCAATGTTGATGAAAACACCTGGAACCGGCTTGCTAAATAAATCGCTTTGGTACATCGGGATTAATCAATAATTTACAGAACCCATAGCACGCGGCCACGCTAAAAATCCTCAAAAACGTTGTAATACAAATTACATGTAGTTTGGGAGAAATTTGATTTTTGTGCATCACCAAGTAATTTAGTTATTGTTGCCGATGGTGAATCACAGAAATTAGCAGCATCAGAGGCGAATAATATTAGTTTTAGGTTTAATCCAGGCAATGGCCGGCAATCTAATCACTTTGCAGTTTGCACTTCTTATTGCGGTGTAGTGTACAGTACATATGAATTATGAAAGGCGGCATGCACTGCCATGCAGTTCATGATATTAAATTGATTGTCCTTAATTACAAGCAGATTATTACGAGACCAAAGCGTTACAGATGTAATAGACAGTTCTGCACATTCATTTGCGCACTACTATCAACGTAATTTCGTATTCCTCCTTTCATAGTTTCTTCAAAGAAAATTTGAAAACAGAACTAACCGTTTCAATGTTCCGACTGTGTGGTCTATTAGTTATTTTGGGATTCGTTACCGCGACGAAAGCCGAATCGTCCGATCGTTCGAACGGATTTCGTTTCGATCCATCGCTCTGCCAGCAAAATATTGTACCGCTGATGCACTGTATGACAGCCGTGGAGAAGGAGATCAAGGTCAACAGCACATTACTGCAAAAATTCCTGCAGTCGTTTATCAATGGAATTGATGTGGAAGATCGTCCGGAACAGGCTATCAATGCAGCATGCAGGTGAAGCAGAGAGCCTGATGTTTGTCTTCCATATGAGGACGCTGTATTAATCCCGTAAATCTTCGTGCAGTATCTGATTAAAGATTAAGATCGTTAAATGCAAAAAAAGAAGCTGGATATCTGTGATATAGTTTTTTCGGTTAAAATGCTAAATATCTGTACGCTTTTGCAGTCTTATCCTGACTTTTGATACCTGCGGAAGACCTTTAGCAAGCAGCTGCCTTTTTCCATTGGCAGCAGCAGCACTGGATGTCTATGAAAGCGCAGTAGCTGTATGTCGAAATGCCCGTGTCGCCGCTTATTACCAGGAGGTAGCCAACTGCTTTAACAAGCTTCACTTTATTCCTAAACTAATTGGTGATGGAGAACTGCAAGGGATTATCGCCGAGATTTCGGCGGCAATGGCTAGTGCCAACAGTTTTATCCAGCTGATGAGCCTTCCGGCGGACAGCATTATGAACATCGAATGCCGGTAAATATTTGCGCATTTTCTGACACACACATTAGTCGCTGTTTCCATTTAAAATTTGTCAGTTTATGGTGCTTTTTTTGAAGGATTCTCTCACGAGCACAGGAAATGCTTTCATCGGAAAATGTTGAAGGGGCATGCGGAACGGAAACTCACAATCTGCTATCTAATCTGCATTCGAAAATGGTGGAAATGTATGGATGCTGATGAAATAATGCAAGCTGTATTTGGGCGTCTTTGGAGTACGCGTTTCTGAAATTTGTTTCATTTGGCCGGTTATAAAAATTCTGTTTATAGACTAACTTTTAAAAATAATTATTCGCTGATCGAATAAAATTCTGCTGTTAGGACTTAGGAGTGTTCAATTGCATAATAAATTGGTTCACCAAAATGACACGGCGACTGCAGCAAAAGTTTAATTTGCAGTTACGCGGTATGATGTTGTACGAATCTTGTAAACCCGATGTACTGTAGTTACTTTTGTGTAAAAATCATGTTTACATAGATACGTACGTACAAAAATGATTGTTCTCCTGATAAGCCGATGGAGATATCGTATTACCTTCCAGTTAAACGCCGAATCGATATTCATGTACAAGGATAATTCCTAACTGCATTTTCAGAACGCTTTAATCGATTCCCAGTGACAGGCTGTGGATGCAGACGTTTGTTAATTGCGTAATTCGCACTAGTGGTCTGCGTGAGTCATAAAGTATATGCCAAAGTCCACAATTGTCTTCCGACAGTGTGCGTGCATCTGGACAATTGACAGCGATAAGGTGGTTAGCAAAATGAGATAAGGATATAGCCACTACTTTCCCAGTCTCTATAAGAAATGAGGAAAAGACAAGTGTGCATGTAACTGAAGTGGGAAACGGGATATATCACCAATTTTGTAATAAAAGTTTTGCTATTTTTAACGGATTACTTACCAGTACAGGAAATGTTGCGGATTGTTTGCGCCGTTGTGTTGCTGGCCGTGAGCGCCTGCGCCCAGGGACCGGAAATACCAGATCTGTCGCAGTTCTTTGGGCCGAACTGCACGGCAGACGATGTACAGGCGATCACGCAATGCACGCTCAACATGCAAAATCAGACACAAGCCAGTCAGGCGGTGTTGGATCAGTTTGGAGGAGTTTTTCTCAGTGGAAACATCACCGAAGAGCAAGCCAAAGCCATAATGGATGCTTCATGCAAGTAAGAAGAATTATAATATCACCGATAACATTAAAACAACCGGATATTGACTTAATTTCCTACATTCATTTACTGTCGGCACTGATGTTAAATTGCGTAAAAATTGCACCGGCACAGACCGGTTACTATCCCATTTTTACATATACGGCCGTTGTTTAAACTTTAAACAAACAAATTATTTTATAATAAGCATCTATCGTTCCGGATTATTTTAAAATTAGCTGAAATCAGGTTGCTCATTAGGAAGCTAATATTAGCTGCTGCTTACCGAACTCAGTAACTTTTTAGGCTATTAAAGGTTATGAAGTTATTATCTCATAGTAAAACGATTATCGCAGCACGTTGGCGTTTGCATAACTGCTTCTCTTCAACAGCGTTTCAGTTTAACTGTTGTTACAGGAAGTGTTATAGGTGCGTTGTGTAATAGTTTTGCATTTTACGCTAAAAACGGTAGAGATTGCGTTGTTTTTTTATTAAAATAAACTTTCATTTTCGTGTGGCGTAGCCGCGTTTGTATTTGTTGTTGTTCGAGCGGCTTTGGCAGTTATATAAACAAATTCTTTCTGTTATTTTTACAGTTTGGTCCAAGGCCTCATCGGCTGTCTCCGTCCCATGGCTAGCCGGTGTTTTACACAGCCATATTTGGTGATGACTTTCATCATGTACGATGATCTCCTGGCTGTCTGTGAGGCTCCAAACCGTTACAAGTACTTTGCCGAAATTGTGCGCTGCAACAAGAGACTGGATGTGTATAGCACGATTACTAATGACCAAGTGCTGGCCAATATCACGCAAGAAATCGTCAACGCCTCACTAACATCGCTTGGACCCAACAACAATAATACATCGGGGGTCTTGGACATGTATTCCGAGTTCACCGACCTATTTTGCCGGTATGCTTTTCACCTGATGCTTTTAGCCATAATAAATGTATTCCAGGCAACACAATCGGCAAGTAAAGAAAATAGAAATTATGCGCTAAATTCGTCTTAAACAGCTTGAAAAATTTAGCTTGATTAAATTTTTATAATAAAGTAATCAAATGGAATAACTGCGATTTTAAATTATATTTCGAAACAGGAACAACCTTAAGATTATGATAAATCGCATTAAATAAGCATTCTCTTTGCAGAGTGATACGTCGCGTGGAGGAGCTTGTCCCCCTGGAAAAGGTCAATGGTACATGCGGTGCGAATGCCCACGAGGCTTACAGCAGCCTGTATCCGCATATTCTCCAGATGTACAAATGCACTGGCGATGAACTGAGTCACAACACCACCGCTACCCCGCCCATCACGCCTCCCATCACACGGCCGGACCAGAACAATACTTCCGGTGGGGGTAACGGGGCCGGCTCCATCCAGCCTGCCAACGGATACGCACTGTACAGTCTCTTCACATTCCTTCTCGCCATAGTTTTGGCAAACAAGCGGGATTAGATTACTATAAAAAGCGTTGTGATGAAAGTTGTCAATATCATGTTTCAAGTGATCTGCGATCGTTTATATTTATTGACTCCTTGTGCGGTGGCGCTGATGGCCATGCAGGCTGCACATATTACCTTGTTTTACACGCTGTTGAATTAGTAAACATTGGCATTTTCATTACTTTTTTGGTATTCTTTATACATGAACTGGAAGAAAGGATGTCGATATACTATCCCGTCAAATTTTATGGGACATCTTTTGTAGAAAGATATATATTTCGACACTACGATTGCCCTGTTATAATTTCGGTTGCACTACCTGATAATGGATCGTAATTCGCTTTCACAGTATAAGTGTTCACATTTTCACAGTGAAAACGTTTTTTAGAGATTATGAAGTTTGTGCCGGCAGCGGTGATTTTTATCTGCACTTTAATGTTCTCACTACGAGACCGAAGAGGTCTTCTTTGCGGCGGCCCTCGGAGCCAACACGACTGTTATTGATGATACAGCTATGGTGGAAGGATCGCAGGGGAAAGAGCCAAACAAATGCCAGGATCTAATCAAAACCAACTGTTTCCTTAAAAAACGTTTCCTTGCTGTTAGGAATTGCTTTTATAACTTGGACGACGGCAGAACCGAGCTGACGTAAAACATTAAAGAAAACCAGAGTAAACAATAAAAAAAAATTTGCAGCTTGAATTATAGCCGTTTGTTCCCCTTTTATCGTTTTTTGTCTCCTTTTTATTCAGTCATGTGAGTCTGCGCTTTCGACGTCCATCAGAAAAACGTTGAATAAGAAACTGCGCCGAAGATGATCCAAACTACCAGGGGAAGCCGTGAATCTACCGAAAAAAGTTTGCTAATAATGCGTCGTAAAATATACATGCGAGCGCTTACGGTACCGTGACTGAGTCCATGGGAAGCTATCGTAGAGATTTACGCTCTGGTCTTAAGGGAAGTGGCCCGGTACATCGTACCAAATTCGTGTACAAGAACGGAAACTTTCACCTTCGCGCACTTTTTGTTTCGGTTTATGACATTCTGTAGCCAGATGATTTATATACACTGGCGTGAAAATGGTTTGTGCGCACAACATTCGGTTCGGGAGATATGGCTGTAAGAAAATTCCAAAAAGTTTAAATACATTCAGATTTCAGGTGTCTGGTGTACCAAAAGTCTCATTATGGACCGATCTCTTTCTAATTTTGCATGTAAATGCACAAGGCAATGAAGATCGGTTTTACACCGATCCAGACTTCCATGATTTTTTTCAAATTTTAAAATAAATTTTAAAATTTTTGAAATTCATTTTAAAATTTGAAAAAACTGGTAGAACAGTGGATCAGTGTAAAAACGATCTTCATGGCCAGGTGCATTTACAGTACGTGCAAAATTAGAAAGAGATCGGTCCATAATGAGACTTTTGGTACACCTGAATGCATTTAAACTTTTTGGAATTTTCAAACAACCATTTCTCCCGAACCGGATGTTGCGCAAACCGTGTATATAAATCATTTGACTACAGAATGTCATAAAACAAGAGAAAAAATGGTTTGGGAACCCGCGGAAGTGAAAGATTTCGTGCATGTACACGAATTGGGTACCATGTACCGGGCCACTTCCCATAACACGAGACACTGAACTAATCAGTTCCTGTTAATTATTTTTTAAGAATGTATTTGAGTGTATTTGACCAATAAAGAATCAACATCAGTTCCTCCAACTCACGACTGGTTAAGGCGAACGTCCCAAAAATTAGCAGGATGCAGAAACTCTTACCGATTAATTTGGTTGCACTGTTGCAGAGGTCACCAGCACAATAACATTCTGCGCCACTAAGTTCTGCACCTGGAACCGCCGGCCAAGGTGTGCACTTCAAGTCTGCTGCAGTTTTCCCGATTCGTCCACAACTTTGATGGTTCGCTTCATATTTCACCGCTACAATTATTTGAAAAACGTGAGCGCACTCGCTACCAGGTATAACCAGTAACGTATATTATAAATACTCTAAACTAAAACCAAGCAAAATCAAAACCAGATCTGGATAGTTCAGCATTATATTACCGCAAGGTGCTGAAAAATTTGACGGGTAAGGAATTTTGCAGAGATTTAATGGTGAGACGGGAAAACACAAGGTTCCTAGTATAGTGTTTCGAAATCTTAGCATATGCTGGCGTGTTCACCAGTAAAAGTGTGCTTCCAATATTCCTTTTACTCGATATTTTTCCGGAGCGGACTGACACCAATTGGCAGTCGGTTAAACTAGCATAATTACAAAGACTAGTCTTTGTACAATATTTAGTTTACGGCTTGTTTTCGAACGATCTATGGAAAGTCTGTATTACAGAGTCACAGACTTTCCATAGACCACAAGCATCAAGTTACACAAAGGAAGATACTATAAGGGACTATCTATAAATTACGTTCCCGAAAAATTCGTTCTGTATGTAGTTGTGTATGGTCCCTAACTATACCGTTAATTACAAATTTATAGTATACGAATAATACGTAATTTGCACAGCGAGTCCGCGACGGAATGTTTTTGCTGACTGCAAAGCAGACGAGAAAACGCCACTTGGTGGTTTCAACAAAAGGTTACCGGTGCTCCCTGTGGCGCGTTACATGAAGGGTTTCTGATCGATTGTTGATCGGAATGTTTAATGAATGTGTGTGGTTGAAGCCGCAGTAACTTATTAAAAAAACAATTTAGATTTGACTAAACCTATCGGTACTAACGGCTTTTGACGATTTCGGTGGCACGGTAGCAGTTGTTGACGTCTGCGGGACAATCCTTTGGGTTTTTGTTGATACAGTCCTTTACTATATCTTTCATATTTGCAGGAACGTCTCCGGTCACATAATCGCAATCATAGCACTTGATTGCTTCCCCTACAGAAACCATGAAGAACTCCGTAATTATGCCTTTGCGTGGAAGAGATTCACCCTTCACGACCAAAAAATGCATTTAGGCAGTATTTGATAAACATATTGACCTATCGTACCTGTCTGGAATGCCATCAAAAGCAGCGTTGCAGATAGGACTGATTTCCAGGTTTCTGCCATTTTAAATAAAAATTTTTTTCGTATGAGAAAGGTAAATTGAATACTTTTAATGTCGAACTCAGATATGCCATATGGAGCATAGACAGTAAAAAAGTAACAATTGTCGAGCAAGTTGCCGCAATAGTACTTACTAGTATTATCACATAATATCAAGCCTTTCGTGAATTAAAAATTTGCTGTCATTTAGCCTGAGCAATTGTTTATGTTACTAGGATACGTACTAGAAACAATGTAGTAAGTAATTGCAAGGTTACGACAACAGTACAGGGTAACGGTTCCAATAGAGTGGTTTGTTCCTTTGTATAGTATGACAACCAGTTTTTTTATGACACCCAGACTAAAGACTGCCGGTTTCCCAGCCAGAATGGAGCCGAAAGGTCTCTCAGCCAAAGATCGCAAAAGGCCGGATGTGATCACACTCGTACCATGGGAACGCGGAAAGCCGCTGGCTATCGAAGTGACTTGCGTGGACACGCTCGCTGCCTCATAAATCGATCGCATCTCAATGAACGCCGGGGCCGCAGCTGAACACGCCGAAAGAGCGAAACTGACGAAACACAGCTGGCTGCAACCACGGTATAATTTCATGGCGGCAGCATTCGAAATTTACGGACCGTGAGGAGATGGAACAAAAAGGCTTGTGGAGAGGGTTGGATGCGGTATCGCCAGCGCCACAGGCCAGAAACGTGCGAAAGAGTTTTTTAGACAGCGACTCTCAATACAGATACAACGGGGGATGCGATCTGTGTAATGGGTACAATTCCCGATCAGGATAGCATTAAGGAAGTGTTTCTGTTATAAATGTTTTGTACTACGTTTGTACTTATGACATGATCGATACTTGTTAAAGGTACATTATTTTTTAGTTTTTTGATAAAATTTCCGAAAAGTAGCAATATCGACTTGTCCTCACGATGAAACGACAGTGGTAAAAGCTGATTTCGAAACACAAACCGTGGAAAATTTAAACCCTACTCGTATAGACTGATAGTCTAAGCTGTTATGATAGTGTTACACGTAAAAACTCCATTTATGTCGGCGATAAAGCGAAAAAATACTGCATTGTACTCGTGATAAATGAAAGCAGATATCGCTTTATATTGGGCGCTTAATTGACATAATAATTGAATTTCTCCGATAGAAATACAACTTCGTCGCGCAAACAGGGCATTGTGATGAGGTCCCAGTATCAGGACGACGGACGCACACGTCTGGTGCTTGCGCTGGTTGTCTGCGTGAGCGTATGGAGAAGTCCACAATTGTCTTCCAACAATTTGCGTGCGTATGACAATGGACAATGATAAGCCAGATAAGGTATGCAACAGGTGTGATAATGGTCAGCAAACACTTTCCCAGACTGGTATAAGACTTGAAGAAAGCACGAGAGCGGGCTTATTGTACAAAAGATCCGGAATAAATCACCAGTACCTTTACTGTTGCAGTAATAATTTTATTAGCTTTCCGGTTTTGTTACGGTTGCAAGAATGTGGCGGATCGTACAGATATGTGCCCTTGTCCTGTGGTGTGCAGGCGCCTATGCCCTAGAACCGAGAATCCAAGTTGTGCCGCAGCCATTTGGAAACTGCACGGTCGAAGATGCGCAGGCGATCTCTCAGTGTACTACCAACATCCAGAATCAAACACAATCAAGCGAGGCTGTAATGGACCAATTTATGGGAGTCTTTTTGACCGGTAATATCACGGAACAGGAAGCCAAAGCCTTAGTAGACGCTTACTGCAGGTAAACAGCGTTTTACATTTCCCCTAACAGTAAGAGAAAAAAGTTGACTTTTGTTAATGTTTTCTTAGCACATAAATTCTGCTAGGCCTGTGTACACCGGCGTCAGCAGAATATTTGCTAAAAGTGACCTCGTAATTGATTAAATGTTTGGACAAAATAATTATTAATTTTTATCTCGTCCTGGCGCGGCTTCTCATTCTAACTTTTTTTGCCGCTTATGGCGAAACCTTTATTTAAGGAAAAATAGAATCCGATTTTTTAAACAGCAAGCTTTTTGAACGGTAAAATATTTTTCACCGCAGTTCTACGCTTGGATGGTATATTATATTGACATCCAAGCGGCTTATACGTAAACCGTTTTCAGATTTGAACTCAGCGCATCAAATAACGTCTAAGTTTCCAGTTTCAAGCGATTTGACCGTGTAGTTATCGAGATCTAAAAAACAAGTCAAGTTGAAGTTGCCGGTTGCCGGTTGCCGGTAACTTTTCGGGGTAAAATTTTTTTTGAAAACCGTTTTCAGATTTGAGTAACATTAGTAAGTATTGAGTAACGTCTGTTTTTGTTGCAGTTGGATGGCCGGCACCGTCGGTTGTCTTCGCCCTTCCGCTAGCCGGTGTTTTGATCATCCTTTCATGCTCTTAACTTACACAGTGTATAATTCCCTCCTCGGCATGTGCTCTGCTCCTAACCGCTACAAGTACTTCGCTGACATTGTGCGCTGCAACAAGAGATTAGATGTGATCAGCACACTCTCAATTGACCAAGAGCTGGCCAATATTACCCAGGAAATCTTTAACTTCACAACACAGTCGCTTGGCTCCAACAGCAATGTTGCGGCCATCTTGGATTTCTCTTCCGAAGAGTATACACGATTATCTTGCCGGTACGCCGTTCAATTGCTGCTATCATAAGTACTTATCTTTTGCAACGCAATATGTAAGAAAACTTTTTTGAAATTGCATAAATTTCGTGTGATTCATGTGGTTTGAAACTGTAAGTTCAAAAGTTTAAATTAATTAAATTGGAATTCCAAAAAAATTAAGGAAAATTAAGCGGAGAAATCCACTTTCAGATTTGCATTTTGAATCTCAAGCGTACATGTAATTTACTCAAACAGTAGGCGAATATTGTGTTACTTGTGTAGGATGGTACGTCGTGTGGAAAACCTGATCTCCTTAGAAAAAGTTAGCGGAACGTGCGGCACCGAAGCCCACGAGGCCTACAGCAGTTTGTACCGGCATATTCTCCAAATGTACAAATGCAGCAACAACAACACTTCCGGTGGGGGTAATGGGGCCGGCTTCGTCCAACCTGCAAACGGATACACCTTATACAGTCTTTTTACAATCCTCTTCGCCATTGTGTTTGCGCATCAGCGAAATTAATTTAATGCGCTGTGCTCTGCTTAAAATTTCGTATCGTTTTCTAATGATCTATTATCTGCTTTTGTCTGGCCTTGGACGGTGTTGGTGATTTTTCCGAAAATTGTTCGGTTTTTTTGATACCGTGTACCTGCATATATAAATTGACATGAAGTGATAATTAATGTCATCGTTATTAATTTCAGCTGCATCAAGCCGCATGCTGGCGGCCCATGATAGACTGCGTTTCTCAACCACAGTGTAATCGCGAAAGTGCGCTGTAGTCAGTGACTCAGTGTACATAATATACAGTAGTACCTCACCACGTCACCAGTGAACAATTTATGGAGAATGTTATGTTTCGTTCTATCAGTTATAACGCTTATAACCGGAAACAAGTCACAGATACGTCAGATTATCAGCAGCAGTTAATAACATCCGTTGTCATTTCCCTAAATGTGCACACTCCTTGCGGTAATAAAAAATGGATAAAAATAACGAAAAGATGGATTTTTATGGTTATGGATTTTCAAGTTATAGATTTTTATGCCGCTGTAATAAAAAGATGGATTTTTATGGTATCTTGATAAATAAGAAGGTCTAAAAAAGGTTTAAAAAAAGGTGCGCCATTGTTTTACGACAAGCGGTAAATAAATAATGATTATACCAATGGGTATTACTTCTGCACCAGTGATAAGATAATCCAGTCTTCTGTCTTTTCCAGAGCAACAGAATATAATGGCGATCGCTAATACTGTACAGTCTGGGAAATATTCGCGTTTGGAAAATTTAAAATCCCTTATGAGCTTACGCAGGTTGACAATGCTGGGAATTTTGTATATGGTGGCGCTATTCTCCGGGCATGTTTATGCCCAGTTTCCGATGCCTGAGGCGTCCGGTTTAACACAGATTTTTGGAGCTAACTGCACCACAGAAGACCAAGTGGAAATTCTCCAGTGTAGTGCGGCACCAAATCAAACAGCGAAACAGCAGGAAATACTGCAGCAGTTCGGATTTAGTATTTTGGGAAGCAGCCTCACGCATGCCGAGGCGAAACTCATACTTGATGCGACATGCAAGTACGAGTATGTACTACGTACGAAGTACACAAATTTAATTGTTCTCAATTGCACAGTGCACTGCACAGTGTCAACCGCACAGTCCAAGTAACGGTATTAACTTCTTACCGTTTTGTATATGCTGGATCTCTGGTCTTGCTGACTGCCCGGAACCGGTTGCCGACCGATGCTTCGCGACGCCAATGTTGACCTTTATGTATACGATGTACAAAGACCTCCGCCTGATTTGTTCTGCTCCCTCCCGCTATAAGTACTTCACCGAGCTAGTGCGCTGTAATAAAATGATGGATCTTTACGGTGTCATGAGAAATGATACTGAAATACCAATCCTGATCAACAAGCTAGTCCGTCTTATCAAAGCATCCCTGGGCGCTAATGAGAATATCTCCGATTTTTTGTCTTCGAATCCTCAAGTCTATAATGACAACTTTTGCCGGTATGTACTGTACTGAGCAAGACCAAACAGTATTTATTCAGAAACTACAGCTTGCTATACTTTAACAGTATTTTGACTGTCTGTGCTACGCTGCATACGTCTTTCTAATTAAATTTTTTGTAAATGTACTGTACTGTTGCCGAAACGGCACTTCCTGTGAAAACTTCTTGATCGATTGTGACTAACTTTAAAAACGGTTTTGACTGTTTCAAGTCCTCACATGATGGGAGCATTTTGATTTACAGGATTCTAAATCGTGTCGCCGAAATCATTCCCCTGGTGAAAGTCAGCGCAACATGCGGTTTTAATTGAGGCACGCTACGTGTACGCCAACCTACACTCGCACTTCCTCAATTTATACAAATGCGATAGTGAGCAGGCTGCCCCAAGACAACTTCTCGCCCAATCGTCGGTAACTCCACCGTAACCGGAAACCAAGCAGCAGTAACGACCAACGCGCTGGTGAGCAATACCGCAGCTACTCCGCCGGTTAGCCTACCTCAAACCACCACCCAGATCACCGTCAGCACCAACAGCATCCTCAAGGATGGTAACGCAGCAACGCCGGTTCATCCAGCAGGTAGATCCGTGTTGGTCAGCCTGGTTTCTTTTACGTTGGGCATTGTGATAGCATACTAATGCAGTTATTTGCAAGTACCACGGGAAGCCAGTAACTAGAGTACTCTGTGCAAGTCCCTACTGTGTAGTGCACGCACTGTACTGTGAGTTCACAAATATGTATATAGCGAGGATATCTAGTGCATTACGATATGAAACCAACTTCTTAGAATATTACTAGCATTCCTGTCATTTGTATATGTAGCCACGACAGCGATCGCATTATTCATGGAGACTTGCTGCGCTTTTCACCGTGTAACCGGTTACAAATTACATAAAGGTATAATTCTATCGGTATGCAGTGTACGGCGCGTTTTGGATGCAGAAATTAGACGAACCGAACATTGTGTAACACTGAGAAGCTCACTATGCACTACGGCGCTCTTATTAACAGCAAAATGGACACAATACATCAGATATAATTTTTGTTTTTGAGGATATGTTTGTTGCTGTATAGTTACCAATTCTCAGTTTCACACTACAGTTTGTGCCAGAATTCATGTAGAAACGGCGTAGTAATACATTCTTGATAATGTTCGAATTACCTCTTAAAAAAATTATAGGTGAACCGTGAGCTACAGTACAATCTTTTTCATAGATTACTAAGCGACGCTTGTTTTTATAAACATAATGAGAAATAAGAAGTATCAATGGATTACAATTTGTAACTATCGTATATTATGGAAACTGCTTGTGTGCGTATATTAATTTTGCCGAAGCGAAAACTATGGGACGGATGATCTACATATCACATCATTATTTTCTCATATTAGACTATTTTGAAATTTATCTGCTGATAAATTTCAGATTGCTGAATAACGAGACTTTACGCACTAATAACGCACTAGTACCGAAAGACTACGCTCCATGACATATCCTTTCTGGTTCCGGTTTTGCTGATTAGCTGAATATTCGCTAAAACCAGAAACCATAAGGCAATAAAAAATTAGTGATGTTATACTGTGGTGTTAATCAATATTAGTGTTGTAGCGTTTTCAAAGCCACTGCGATAACTAAAACACAATGCGCGCAATTTTATGTTAACATTGCACATTAATCTAAAGCAAAGAGTGCAAAGTTCACCGATTGGTTCTTGTCACAAATTGTCCATGTGGTTAATAAAAGAATAAGCTACCGATAAACTAATGAATCGTAATGAATACAGCCTAATGATTGCAGGACCTGCAACGGTCCATATAAAGGCCATAACACTCTACAGGCTTCTCATTCAGGTCTGGAAATAATTTATTAGTACTACCAGTTGGGCATATACGTGCAACATAAGCTTCGAAAATGCTGCGAGTTCTCTGTGCTGCTGTTTTGCTCTGCGGAGCCGTATACGGTCAGCTTGTGGTGCCGAATGTGTCAGAAATGTTTGGACAAATGTTTGGGCCGAACTGTACCAACGCGGATCAGATGGCTTTGTTCACTTGCTCAATGGATATGCAGAATCAGACCATGCAGAACGTGGACATCTTTCAGCAGTCAGGAGAAATTTTTATGAGCGGAAACATCACCGAAGCGCAGGCGAAGGACATCCTCGATGCTTTTTGCGGGTACGGTTACAAACTTACAATACACAACAGTTCTTTGATTTTCCCGGTACTAAAATCAGTATCAAACCATTCATAGTATTTCATGCTAACATAATAATTTAAACAAGCAAAACTTTTTATGTTGAGTATTGGCTTATTTCATTTTTGTATTAAATTATCAGTAAACGTGATAACGGGCCTAAAATTTTCAGTCGAGCCGAGAGCATATTGTTGAAGTAACGACATGATAGTGTTAGTGAACACAACAAAATTGAAGCCGAGAGCATATTGTTGAAGTAACGACATGATAGTGTTAGTGAACACAACGGCTAACACAACAAAATTTTTTAATCTAATGCTTCTTTTTTTGCAGATTGATGACCAGCATGATCAGCTGCATCCGGCCAATTGCCGATCGTTGCTTCACTTCTCCTCTGGCTGACTGGTCATTCCATATGAACGAAGATATGCTGTTGATGTGCGCTGCCGCCAACCGCTACCAGTACTTCACGGAGATTGTACGCTGCAATAAGAAACTGGATGTGTACAACACCATCGCTAATGATCCGCAACTGCCGCTCATTGTTGAAGAGATCACCAATTTGACTCTGTCATCGATGGGTCCTAACATGAGCAATATTTCCGGCATTATGGACGTGCCTCCTCAAACCTTCATCGCCATCTTTTGCCGGTATGCTTTTGAACCGAATTCATTTTAAGGAAACGTGCGCTTAAAAACGGTTTTTTAGCGTATGTCTCTGTTTTGCGGCCGAAATAAAAATTAATGCAACATCAGTCGACTTTCGACTAAACTGTGTTACATTGCTAGTTGCGCGTATAAATAACATTTATATGTCGTTTGCAGAATGTTCAGCCGTGTGGAAGAACTAATTTCTTTGGAAAAGGTCAACGCCACGTGCGGTGTCGGTGCCCATGCAGCCTACACCGATCTTTACAGCTTCGTTCGCAGAATGTACCACTGCGACGGCGAACACCTGAACCACAACGAAAGCACCACCATTCCTCCGTTCGTCAACACCACCGTTGTGGCAGGTAACGAGACAGTGCCAACCCAGACCACCATAGTCCTTCCGGCCAATGGTACCTCCCCCACCCCGCTCGTTGTCCGTCCCGACAGCACCCAGGCTCCCAACGGCAACGGTACTTCCCCCAACCCCGGTGGTAACGGTAATGCCGGAAACTCCATGCAGCTTGCCAGTGGATCCGTCTTCTACAGTCTGATCGCGGTTATCATGGCCATTGTCATGGTACATCGACAGGACTGAACAATGCTGACAGCCACTTGACAGCAGTTTGTTTGTTATCTTTTACCAAAGTGATCTGTGATCTTTGAAATGTTATAAGAATTGTTTGCTCAGCTGACCTGGAATGTGGGAATGAGCCGGAATTAATGCTACCATTGATTTACAAGTGCAGTTACTCGTATGGTGGGTTTTTATCTTTGCAATGACATTATTCTATGGTACCGTTTATCTGGCGATATATGGTTGTAACTTGTACTGTTATCTGACATGTCCAACAAAAGTTGCAACAACAACAATAGACGACTGACAATCGCTCGTGCTCAGTGTTAAATGTAGCCGTTGCTTCCTAATAAAGTCCTAACTACCTGTTTTCGTCCGGTGGAATCCATTCAAATGTAATTCTAAAATGATCCCAAATTCGTATCACACTATTCTACGCATGTTCATAAATTTTCATATTCAAAGTGCTGTCATTTAAACGCATCGTGTTCAACTGCGATTTAAGTGATACTTCTTCTGAACAATCTACAGAGTAAAACACATGCCTCGAGATCGAGACGAAGCATAATAGACTGAACACACTAAGACGTGGACTCCGACCTTTCATAAACAAGTACATTAGTACATACAGTACACGTACAAGTACATTAGTACATACATACATGCATGTACGAGTTTACCCCGAGAGACGGTAAACGCAATCATTGCTCAGCAAAAGATTTTTAACTCGCAGATGCGAAACTTACAAGTTTTAAAGCAAACTATTATTTTGACCATTTTGGTATTGCGCTAAAATGTGAACATATCTTCGCATCTCGATTAACGGTTTCGAGCAGTACAACGGCAGTACGTAACCGTCGTAAAAACTGGTACTGTAACAAAGGTGCCATAAGTAGCTGTAATCGTATCGAACACGGCCACAACTGCCCAGTAGAAGAATTTTTTTACTGCACTGCTTGCCAAAACTCTCATCTTCTGCCATACATTGTTCAGTCGACCGGGATCAATCTATTGTGCAGTGGTGAAAGGGCTGGGCTAGGCTCGCACAGACACTCGCAAAAACTCTGCCGATTGAGGGAATCGAACCCACAACCTCCATAGTTTAATAGTTTCATCTCGGTAGCAGGTAACCCATTAACCTGCTGTGTTTTGCATACACAGCATGGGAATTTAAACCTGGCCGAACACAACATACTCTAAGGCCGAGAGAGGCACTACTAGGCTATCGGCAAAGCATACAAAATGTATTGAAATATTCTAACGAACGATCCTATAGAGAGCGGATGCCGCTCTGACAGAGGATCTGACGGACGCGTCCGTCGAAAATAATATTTTCATCACCACAACGGGCACAGTTGGCAAAGCCAATGTTCGTATACTATATTAAATGCGATCGTACTGCTGTTTTAAACGCTAAGGAAATCACTGCTAAACCGTATTAATAGATTTATTAGTTGTTTAAATTCGTACATCCACGGTAGACCAACATTACTACTGTATAAAATGCTATATTAAGACTGAAAAACCTAAACCATATGGTCCGTATGGGGAATGCCCTTTACAATTAGCTGCTATGGCTTTGTTAATTTCATTTGCTCAAAAAAACTGTGCAGCCCAGTTGCAGTGGCTGTATTAGCCTGGCACCGGAATCATAAAGCTTTTAATTTGGGTGCTAAGTTGACGATAATTGGAACGGACTATGTCACCATACTGCTCTGGATAATAATTATACAACAACACCTGTTTGATACCAGATACGGCTCTACGTAAGCGTTTAACAACATGTACTGCCATAGCAGCGGCCGGTAATTAACAGCATTCAAGAAATTTACAGTAATTAAATCAGTGACGAAAGAGTGTTTTTGCAAAGTGAGTCGCATTTTCATGGAGATTACGTGTGTAACCTTAGACAAGGTCAAGACTAAGTGCGGCGGTGATGCTGTAATGTCACATGTCATACGCTTTATCCATGGTTAGGAATGCCGTTTCCTGCACCGTCAAGCTCTAAAATATTTATGAGATTCTCGGCAGCATACACAACAAATTGGGTGCGTCTCCTGCTCCGTACAAACTGTGGTTGTAGGATCGGTTGCCTACTCATGGCGGCGCGTAGCCATCTGTACCTACTGCACTCCCAAATGTTTTGTAAACTATATAATGCACTTATTGTAATTAGCCCAAACATCAGCCTGTTGGCGGATATTACGTTTTTAACACTAGTGCCGAAAATGATCTCAATGTCGATCTGTTTATTAGAAAATCTGTGTATGGATGATGGAGCATAATAAAGATTTTTGTGTACCGGTATAATATGTAGAGTAGTAACTTTGTGGAATAACCTTTTGCATGTCATTTTTAAATACTAATTATATATCAACAGGATGAGCAGTAGGCCACGTTATTCCGCGGCACTGCAGCGCGAAATTTCTTACATTTTACAGCAATTTCCCAAAGTCACCAAGAGCGTCATGTTCTGACCCAAACGCCCCCGGACAGCTGATTGACGAATCATATCCTAGCACTGACGTTTAAACGGGATTGGGTTTTCGTGTTCTAGCGAGTCATTGTATTAATAATAAGGATTTCCTCTTGGCTAAGACGCTTTAAGGTCCTTCGTTAATTATGGAGTGTTTTCCTGTAGAAGGCCATTACCTCCTCATTAGCCATGTTGTTTATTATTCAGGAGAACCTTCCTTTCAAATCGCTGCCGACAGCGAGAACGTGTCTTATCCTGTAGCGGGCTGCTTTCTTGCAGACCACCGTTATATGACCTCGGTATAAACATTTTCGCTTGCGCGATTTCTGAACAAGCATTCATGGTTAATTTCTGTTGATAGCTGTGTCAAAGTTGTTTAAAAATGAATAAATCTCTGTCAGCATTTGACCTATCGCAACACTCCCAGTCTAGCAATGACAGCTGCCTGCTAACATCGCATGCTGTGTGGGACCTAACGAGCATCTTCACCCTGTTCCAGTTTTTCATAACCTTAACTGTCAATACCGCTGTCCTTCTTGTTTTTGCAGTGCGACGCTCATTGTGGACGCCGTTTAATGTATACCTCTTCAACCTGCTGGTGGCCAACGTGCTGTACTGCTTAACCAGCAACATCTTCGATGTCCTGCACGCATTTTATCCTGTCTTTTGTTTTGGACGGGCGCTGTGCAATTTGAACATGTACGGTATGTGGGTGGTGACCTTGGTGCAGATGCTTTCGCATCCGTTGATCGCGCTGAATCGTCTGTGGGCGCTGTGGCTGCCCATTTCCTATCACAACCATTTGACCATTAGAACGGCGGTCGGGTTAAGCGGCATCGTCTGGCTAATTGCACACTGTGTTGCTCTGCCCGGACTGATCATGGATATTGCGTTTTACCGGCAAGCGGAAGACCAGTTTGGTTGCAATATTAATTTTGATGCCAGTCGCGGGCAGAAAACTTGGTTAATATTGATACAGTTCTTCAGTATGATGTGCCTGCTAATTGTGTTGGCTGCGTATCCGTTGATCTACCACAAGGAACGACACCGAAAAAAGGTCAGATCAACGAAACCCACAGCAACACCGGCAACCGAGGTCTCGACGAACCCGGTTAAGCGAATGTCCAAAGAAATCGCCGTTACGCTTTCTCTACACCATAATCCGCGGCGTTCTCGAGCGTTTTTATTGCTGACGGTTTTAACCATCAGTGTCTTCATCAACTGGACAACCGGGGTGTTCTACTACTTCTCGCAACCGTTCACCGGCTACAGTAATCCGATTCTGGATAGTGTAACGCAGTACACCTTCACCATCCAAGTGGTCGCTGACCCGGTGTTATTTGCGCTGGCGCTGAAATCTGTGCGCACCGCTATCATTGATATTGTTTGTTCCTGTCGAGCTTGACCTAAGCAATTAGATAGATTCTGGATTCCCGGAAGTTTTTGCGGATTGCGGAAGTCTTGGGCACGTTTTCTTCATGAAACTGTTTTTGAAATTCAACCTCGCAGCAGGATTATCGGCAATTATCCGTCTTAAAAAGAGATTTCCGTAATAGGTCGCTAGCTTTCTTAATATTTAATTGGATTCCTCATATTTAATTGCGTCCCGCTATCGACTACGGACTATGTAATTATTGATTTTTTCGGGCAAGCATAAAATCGCTTCAGTTTTTGTCGAATACATAAATTTCACTTTAATATGTTCGGCGCAAGGATCATGCCTACGAAGAAAAGATACTGTCATAAAAAATCAGTAATTCCTTTCTCTTGTCACTATATAAACAGTCACTGATACCTGGTGTTTATTTGAAAATCCATTAACATAAATAAAGTAGCGCCAAATATATTACGCCTCATTCAACGATTTTAGTCCAGCCAGACGTAGGAGCGCCCGTGAAAGCTGTTAAATTTTCATCTTAAGTGAGTTGATCATTTTACAGTGTGGCGTTCGCAGAAAGCAGGCATCCGGCTTCGCTTTTGGGAAAGATTTCCTTCGTAATCAATGCCACGGAAATGATGAGCGTTAAAGCCTGGAAAATTGTAAGCGGCAGCAGAATGCATTAAACCACCAACTCAACGTGAATTATCTGAATACGACATAGCGTTATTTGTCCCCTTATTACATATTTTGCTCACCTTCATAAGAAGTGACAGTGTGATCGGTATTACATCTCCAAGAAGAAGTTCCAGTTTCAAGTCTTTGAAAATTTTACGAGCTTCCATAATGGCTGCTTCCAGCGCTTTTATATCCCTGGAGAAAATGAGGCAAACAGGGTTGTATTGGCTAAACATGCAAAGTCAACCAAAAAGCTGTACTTACCGGCAGAGTGTCACGGCTTTGGCGTTGACAGCAGCAGTTTTCAAGAGGATGGATGACGTCAACGCTGGCAGCACGATATTCTAAATTAAAACGACCGAATTTGACAACGCCTATTACCCAGTACTCATGCGGGAAATTAGGATTACCTCTTGGCGTACTACTGCCGCATTAAATGGGAATAACACCAATATCAGCGCGTAACACGTTATTACGAACGCATCATTCAACAGGGAACCCGTTACGAGGCCCGCTGCAAAACTGAGCACAAGAGTTAAGTCAAAAACAAATGCCGCGGTTAATACGCTGCCCAGTCGATTTTGCAGGACGCTGTCCAAACGGTCCAGAGTTTCATAATAACACAGCACTTCCTTAAGGTCATCAGTCGCCGTTGCGACATTCTTCGATGACAGGTCATACAAAAGCTTTCTAATACCAAGCAATCTCTGACATACAAATTCGTTGCCGGTTTGCAAGACCAGGGCGACAAAGACGAAAGTGGATTGAATGTGCAGTGAATACAGAAATGGCAGAGCTACTGAAAAAACCCAGTAAAGATAATTCTGCCATCCAACAGAAACCATTCCCAGGAAAACGGTGTTTTCAGTTAGGTACTTCATCCGTGTATTATCACTGTTCAGCCACCAGAGACCATCGCCGATACAGAACAGTGTCACCGAGATGAAAAGCACAATCAGCATCCGCCGGTTGAGATGATGCATGAAACCGGCTTTCAGCTGATTGGACGTGTTCATTGTTTTGATGATCGTGGTGGATAGCGCGTTGAAGAATTTCTCGTTGAGGTGTATGTTGAGCATATTCAGGGTGATGACTAAGCCAGCGCGACAGGAAATGAAGAGATGTTGGCTGGCCACGAAAACGTCACCCATTGTCAAAGGCCGGTTATTCTGCATGGCCCGCTGGATGTTGTTAGTGAAATAAATTGCTCCACTGCTGAACGAAAGTAAGACAAAAATTATACCAAAAATTCGCGAAATTATCTTAGCTTGCCGACCGTAGCCAAGTGGGAAGGTGAACAAGACGGTAAAATGCGAAGACTGGGTCATTGTAAGTTTGTAACTTGAATGACAGTGCACCCTCCATACGGTTTCGGAAATCTAAAAATCCAGCTCAAGTCGTTACAGCGTTGAGCCGTGGAATGTGTCGCTCGGAGAGAGCTGACGATTTTGAATCTCCTGTCCTGTATTATTCGATGAGTGTTTGCTTAATGCAGTTTGTCTCCTCTACTTGGAAGTATGTGGAAAGTGTGTGCTCAGCATTAGCTGATCACACACTGTGTAAGGCAATCCCGATACCCTGGGACAACGAGGGCCGTTGGATTATCTACACGGTATTCATAACGTTCAGTACTATTGCCTAAGCGATTGGTGATGCCCATGGTCTATGACTCCATGGTGATGGCTGGTAAAGTTGACGAACGCTTGCAATGCAATCCAATATATTAATAAAATAAGCCTTAGCGAATTCCATTTCTGTCACCCTTTTGTGAGCGAACCACTAAACCCAACTTTGATGTCCATATGTCACTCAATAGCGCCCAACTTACAGATTTGCAGAAACCAGTCAGTTTTTCGAAAGTATGTAAGGTTTAAGAGAAAAATTAAAAAGAATTTAACATAAAAAGTCTATGGGAAAAGTGGAGAACCCACCACTGCAAACCCACCCACGCCACCACTGTCACGAACAGCATACGAAAAGCATCCATCTACACTTGATGGAACTTTGGTGTCAATTAGTTATCGGAATGCCTTTAGTTCATAAAATTTTTATTAAGAGTTAGTTTTTAAAATATGTAGGCTTTGAAAGTGATGTTTCGTGAAGACTGAACATGCAGAATCTCCTGGAAAGTGGGAACAACCCAAATTCCAAAGATAAAGTAGTTGCCTTTCGCAACGGGTTTATTAGATTTATTAATAAAACTGCTTCTACAGAGCGGTTGGCTTTGGTAATATGTATCGTGCTGATGTGCCAATAAAGTGGAAACCCCTTTTTTTTCAAATCGCCAATAAACATGATTTTGTGAGAGACTGAAAGTCGATTTTGAGAATTTTGGTGTTCGACTGGAATTGATGTGGACTGCTTGAGCAAATCAGCGAGTCCCAGTCCCACCGGGCGTACGGACTAGGATTCGAGTCTAACCACCGCCCGGGGGGAGAAGGCGGCCCAAGGCCGCAAATCTTTTCCGGGGAGTGAAGTGAGGAACGCGTATTTTAAAAGTCCGCAGGGGGAGGGAGTGGAGGTTAAAATATTTTTCGAAAGGCTAAGGAACGTAGACAAAAACGGTTTTATGATAACAAAAACCGCATTTTTAGCATTTAAAAATTAAAGTAAACAGAAGTATTAAAAAGCGAAACGTATCCGCATTCTAATCTGCCTTTCCGCCAGCTACAAAGCAATCCGTCAGATCATCTCCCATCAAAGGTCAAAACAAAAAAAATTAGGGGAACACCCTCCCCGGTGCGCCTGGGTGCGCCTACATTAATGAACCATCTGTGCGGACGTAGGCGTGAAGCGACAATGCGTCTATCGGGTTGAAGATGTTGTTGGCGTTTAATGGGTTGAGTTGGGGATGGGTTGGGGTTGGGGATGCGACAATGCGTTGGGGATGTACTACACGAATGCACAGATTTTTGCCAAAGTTGAATACGCACGTACAGTAACAGAAATCGGAAGCATAGGCGACACCTATCTGCAGCGGGGGTCGCAAACAATACACTGCGTTCAAGTTGTCGACGTTAATTAATAATAAAAAATTCACCAACAAACACAACGAAATTTTGAAGTCTTCATCAGGTTTAAATTGTTTTGTGTGTAAACAGTAGGAGGAAACTGGACACTGAACATAATTTTATTCTAAGTGGTCTAAACTCTAAAGGTTAACATCTTTGGTCGTACCGTCGTATCACTGGATTGTTTTCTCGGTCACAACGCACTGACTAAAATTTAACGAAGCTCCGAATGGTATCTGAACCAATAGAATTACTGTAATACGGCTACAAAAATTCCAGTAATTAGTAATTACAGTATGGAGCTTTTCTTATTTGCAGTTCTTGACAACTGACCGCCATATGCTGCTGATTGATTTGGGAGAAGCTTAAAAACTTTGTTTAATAATTGCAAACAAAAAGCACACATTCCTGAAAATTTTCAAATTTTTCGGGTCTACTTTAAGGTTAAATCTGAAATCAGCGGAACGCGACAATGTTTTCTCAAAACAGCCTTAAACATTTAATTAGTAAACTGTGATACATTCTAACTGCTACTATTCTGTCAGTGAACTATGGCTAAAATAAAGAATAATTTACGACAAAAGTTATGATAAGCAGTTAACCAAATATATATTTGGGAAATACTGTCTGTCTCTTCCAATGAAACTAATCAAACTATATTATTGTTATTATTATTATACGCTCCTCCGCTCAACAAAATTAAATGTGCTGTCATGGGTTAATGCTTTGTAGTTTTCTTAAATAACAGTTTATCGCCGATTTATTCCGCGCAGTTTGCGCGGGGTCTGCTATTGCCGTTTAATTCCGGTTTCATAGTCCGTGGGACTTGCAGTATACGTCAAACAGCTTTAAACTACGCATGCTATCTTGGGGTCGGGTGCAAAATTTTGACTTTTCTCCAGTTTATTTTGTACGGCGCTTATGGTACTGTTGATATTGCCAGTGCAACTTTAGTTAAGCGCCAAAGAAATTTATCCCGTTCCAAAATATCATCACCAAGCCTACAGTCTGTTTTTTCCGACGGACCGTGCGGATACCGCATGATTACCATGCATTTCGCAGGGTTTTAGTTACAATATCGTACACAGGTGTAGCCGCTCGCGTGAGTTATGCCACACAGTTGGTGTACGGGAAAAACGCGCACCAAATATACCCACGCTGACCGGGCAAAATGCACGACTCTTAGCTACCGTACGAGTACTCTTGCTAGCTTTTTTCCATTTTGATTTCTCGTTTTGAATGACGTTGGTATTGTCTAAAATTAGAAAAATTAGAGCTCTGACAATTAATTTTGTCTTGTGTTCCATAAGAAAGGCATAAACATAGGGCTCTGATGTGTATAATAAGTCAACATCGGATTTGTTGTGGTTTTTGGGGTGCCCCTAATGGGGGGAGGCAGACTGAGCAAACACTATTCTGGTGTCTAGAGGACGACTGCTGTGAGATACAGAACGGTTTGTCTCGGAAAATTATAAAATAAAACTGAGAATAGAAAATGTCCATCTTAAAAATCAATAACAGAGGCATTTTCAAACTAAACGTTAACTAACGTACCACCGTACTGTCCGTGCATATTGCCCGCCCAGCGTGTGTATATTTGGTGCGCAGTTTTCCCGTAAACCAACTGTGTGGTATAACTCAAGCGAGCGGCTACAGTACCATATCGTATCGCTGTTTCGGAGTGGCCTGCGCTGAAAGTCTGAGTCTGAATCTGATTCTGAATGCTAAAAGTCTGAGTCTGAATACTAAAAGTCTGATTCTGATTCCTGCAACTCTGAATCTGAATACGAGGAGGAGCTACCTTGGCCCGATCAAAGGCATATGCGCGACCATAAACCGATCACTGTGCCCGTGTCTGTACACGCTGAGCCACGTGATTTTGTACACCGCTTAGGCGCCCTGCGATGGCAGTGTACGGCACGCACATCTGTTGATCATTCAACCTTTTACACCTCGTGCTATTTTCACTTTTTTTAACTTTCCAACTAGTGTTTAAAAATATTTAGGAAACAGAAATTTTTATGCAGTTTGCTAGGGGCTGTTCCATTGTAAGCCAAGAAACTTTTGAGTGGCGGAATTTCTCGCAGACATAGCACAGGACATCGGTCAACAGTGCCAAGAAGAGGCTGCACTTACGAAAACTGACATGGTTCTCTTGGCAGAAATATAAAATTAATATCTGCATGTCACCTTTTTTTTCTAAATTTTGGAATATTAGTTGACAAGATTTTAAGAGATACTGGAGAGCTGTTCGTCGAGATACCGTTCGTCGCTGTTCGGATTAGATAATAAACGGTTGATTAAACTTTACATGCTGCTGCGTGCAGGCTGCCGTCGCTGGGTGGTAATCCGTGTTGCACGCACATGGAAGCAGTGATCGGTTTATGGTCGGGTGCATGCCTTTGATCGGGCCAAGGTAGCTCCTCCTCGTACCAAACTCTGAATCTGAATAATAAGACACTAAGTATGGCAGGTGACGACCCGAGTCTCTAATTAAAATTGTAATAATGAAGTGGTGTTAAGACAATAATTAATAGCTCGTATAGATAACACTTATCTATACGAGTAATTATAAATTATAGACTAGTATTAGGCGGTGGGAACTCAGAACTGCCCGTAAACAACAACACGGGGCGCGGGACAGGGACGTTACGAATACGCTTGTGCGGTAAAAAATGTTGTTTTGCGTCCAGTGTAGGATGAGATAGCCGGTAATTCCTCTGAATTTACCGAACGAGCCTGTGCCAGCATAATATGCGCCATTTAAATGTGCTTTTATGTTGCATACTGTGCATAGAGTAAGGAACATGCATGTATGCAGTAATTATACGTGTTATCAGCTAGCTAGTATCAGTTATTTGCTAACGGCATTTTTCATACGTCATGTTATTCGTTGTTTCTAATTTTGCCGTTTAATTAGCTTTGCCGGCTCTCCAAAAAATAACTGGTAAAATAAAATTAGTAATCCAGTAAAGCTGGTCTGAACTGATCAATTTATACCAAATCTAGATATACTGGGTTTGACAGAAGTTTGTAATTACTGCACTTTATCGCAGGTGTTAACGTACGGTAGCCACGTCACAAGTTAAACCACCAAAATTAATGGTTGTGACATGCTCTGGTGTACTTGTACTCACAAGTACAGCAGGATGACCAACCTTACTCAGGCAATAAAGATGGAATATGCTCTAGATGTACACTAATGGAAACTCCTCGGAAATATTAGCACTAATATTTCCTACACACACGCGCGTACACACACACTCAGGATCCTGCTAGGACGATGTTGTTGTCCCAGATTTAGTCGGATGATGTTACTTCCGACTCACACACACTGACTTCCGCTCAGATAACTATCCCTAGTTGTCTTTACGAAGGTCACCACAACACACACGAATATCCGGATATCTCAACACAAGTTTATTTGATCTTATTTCGCTAGCTCACAAATCGATCGACTGATTCTGCCTCCAGAATCAGGTAAAAACCCAGCGTGTTACAACATGGAATTACTCGTAATAAATCACTTAACACAGGACAAACCGCACCGTCGTACAGACGCGTGCCGGAGCTCATACAAGTTAACCAAAAGCAATACTCGTACTGTGGTACATGCGCCATAGCATGTTATCCCCATCAACAAAGGTGCACGTCCGCGGGCACAAAACCCGACAAAGAACAAAAGGAAATAGCAGGAACATGTTATTCTTACAACTAAAGGGAATCCATTCCTCCACGCGATCGCTCCAAGTCGTGCCCAAATTGATGGTCCGGTCCCGGTCCTTCCACTGCTTTCCACGTCGCTACAGTTGATCCACTTTGTCCGCTTTCTCCGCGTCCAGTTCCACAATGTTGTCCAAGGCCAGGAGGGAATTGCGCCATTCCACCTCCGCACGAACAATACGTGCGTATTGTTCAGGGTTGTTCTTCTTCTGCTGCTCCAGTTTCTTGATGGCTGCAGTGATGTCCTTACTGTAAGTAATCAGATTGGACGGCTCTGGCAAACCCCACTCTGCAAGGATGTTAGCCGCATCCTTATGCGCCTGCAGTGCCATACTAGCACAGGCCGTCTGTACCAAGTTCAGTGCATGAGCCAATCGAGCTGGCTCTTGCAGTGGTTCCGGCATGTTCATCCAGGATGAATAGTCGCGAATGACTGGTGCACTAGCTTCCTGCGGGACGAACTTCACAATCCCGAATTTCTCCGACAACGCCTCGGACAGGTCCACCACAGCGTAATGCATACGCCAGTACCATGGAGAGTACTTTTCCACGTTGGCCAGCGCATTGACAGCCTTGCGCACATGGGAGAACATCGCTTCTTTCTCCTTGACGAATGACAACTGCTGGTCGTTCTGCACCACTGTCTCCGCTTGAACACGCCATTCCGGACCAGCACCATAAGCGTGGTTTATCACCTGCTGAGCCACAAGAAGAGCTGATGGGCGCGGATGGAAGAAAGTCTGCTTTCCCGGCAATGGCACCAGTACTGGTGTCATTTCGGCTATTTCCATGTGGTCGACGACAAACTGCACTACCTCCAACATAAACGTGGCTGAGGAACGAATTTTCCCCATCGAAAAGCCTTTTCCGTTTGGCAGCTTCCGCGCAATAATCAGCGCGTTCACTTCGCATCGCCGTTTGTCAAACTTGCCGTATCCATGTTGATCGGCATGAATCTCTTGAAACTGGGGAATCTCTGGTTGTGCCACCGCCAAGATATCGTCCGATGTCTTGAACGTTCTGGTATCAGGAACCAACTCCAAAAACTGCACATGCTGCTGAAGGATTAGAAGCAGATCCTTCCATGCACCTCTTTCCAGTAACTGAGTGCACTCCTGTAGCACGTACACATCATCGGCATTCTCCACCATGACGTCTCGCAACATTCCCAGTACGCTCGGTCGAGAAGTGTTCTGGTGGTCGTATTCGCCCATCGAAGGCTTCATCAATTCCTGCTCCACCGCTGGCATTCCACCACGGATCAGGGTAAGCTGATCCATACGATCCAGCACGCACACCTTCTTAAACAGCGTCTTTGTGGTTAAGATGTTGTTAACCACTCGGACGGACGCTGTTGTCTTCTGATGAGCATGTTCATGCTCCTCGCGTCCCTTGACGACCGGTGCAGTGAATTCCTTCTCTTTCTCCTTATCAAGGATTGCGAAGCGACTGTGTGGCGCTGTGTGTGTAACAGACACTCCCAAGAAGGTGACTTTCTTCTTTTGGTTCTGCAAGTATTCGCGCCCAACAATATAAAATACAGTACTGTATTTTGTAGCAAAAATGTATTTGCTTACTCACTCATCAGAACATTGTACAGTGTTTTACCGACATCAGCAATCAACTATCGGTCTTTTAGTTGTTAGCACTGGTAGTTTATTATTACCGTAACTACATTTACTGTAGTAATCTTACCACAGAATTCAACGTTGAATTCATCCCGCTTTCAGACGGTGCCATGCGACTGCGGCCTCGTCCCACTCCCGCTGAGCGGAGTTTCGCGTCCGACAAACGCTGGAACTGCAATCAACATGTACATGTTGATTTACTAATACATTGGTATTCCTGTAGTTCTATGCTGATACAACAACACCTCATAAAATACTGTCCAGTATTTTATCGCTTTTAATGGTTACCTAACATTAGCAATGATTATGCTGTATTGGGACAGTTGCTGTACAGTAACACATTTTAGCAGTCTTCCACCGTTTACCCGTTCGTTCTGGTCCTTGAACTCACTGCTCAGAGTACCCACGTCTGCAGCATCCGTACCGCTCTTCTACAATCAACATGAACGTGTTGATTCACATACTTCACGACTCTCGTTTTACAGTTAACAATATGAGCATATTGTTACTCTAATTAGTCCGCAGTAAGTTCCTCAACTTACAGCTTCAGTTTGTAGTCCTTCTGCCTTCAGGATTCCTCTCCCAGATCCAGGCATCAGTGCTTCACACACTTTCATCTGCGGAGGTCTCTGTGTGGGTTGATTCTGTCCAGAATCAACATCGTCCGCATCCAGACCGTGCACATAACTTCGGTAGAGTTGACCGTGCTCTTCTTCAGAGTCAGGACTGGATGCACGCTGCATCTTGACAGTACTCACGAGCAGTACAAACAACGAAAACTAATAAAACTGAACAGTTTTATTTTCAAATAGAATACTTATACTCGAAGGCACGAAAAACTTAAAAGATACAGATCTGCACTTTTACAGTTTTACGCAGCACACTACACTGACATGTGCGGTTCTGAACTTTTCGCTCAAGAGCCGCGTGCAGCAACACACCGCCATGTGCTCTGTGACGTCACCGACACCGCAAGTAGTGAAGGCTAGCCTTCCTCCGACTAGTTCACTTCCGGTAGTACTTGTACTAGTACTAATTCTTTAATACACAATAAAAGTGTGATTTTAGTTTGCATTTACCAATGCATATTTCTTTTGTTTTCTCACTTTCTTATCCGCTGATTAACAGTTAGCTTTTTGTGTTTAAACTGCAGTTTTACTGTACTTTCTCAAAACACAGTCAATTCCAAACCACAGCATGACTTTAATGAACTTTCCAAGCAAAGTCAGTTACACCACGTCAAGACAGATGAAATAATGCGACTGCATCATTAGTCAACATATTATTCTGAACAGGATAATTTCCATAAAATTCCCAATCAGAATTTTTAATTAACTAACTGGCTATTGTCGGGAACAGATCAATCAGTACTGATTGATTTTACATTAATAAACACCACTTCCCAATCACCATCGGTTTTGGTTAGGAAAACACAAAACAACTCACAAGTTAGACAACTGTAATTCGCGATCTACATCCGGTTCTGACTCGTAATCAGACAGCTCCGCAGGTTCCACAGCTTCCGCCTGCATAACACCTGCCATGTACGGAGTGCATGTAGATACTCGTACTAGTGTCTATGAAAGGTCAACGTTACCTTCAACACACTGCGGCATCGGGGCACCCTGTCCTGGGGCTCCAGCCACCATTGCTTGCTGTCCAAATGCAGCATCACCTGGCAAACCCGCATTGCCATTTCCGTTGGCGATATTGACATCCGGCATCGGTTCATCCACTTGAATCTGCTGTCCAGCAGGTTCCTGTCGAGCGATCAGCATTTGCATCGGAAGTTGAGCCGGTTGAGCCACTTGACCTTGAGCTTGACCTTGGCCTTGGTTGCGATGTGCCAACCATTCCGGCCAATCACAGTCCACCGGTGCCAACTCCGGAAACTTGCACCAACGGGCCAACGCGTTGAACTTCTGGCTCGCTGTGTAAGTTCGCCATCCAGCATAACGGTTCCCGGCAGGCACCACACCTTGCACAATAACTTCTGCAGGCTGGTTGATCGGTCGACCATCATCCAGACGTCGCTCTCCACGTTGGAAATGGGCCTGAGCCGGTGCATTTCCTCCGGCTCGCTGCTGATAACGGAAACGAACTTGGTCCCGATTAAAGCGACCACCACGGCCACGACCGCGACCGTAGTTCTGATATTGCTGTTGATGAGTCGGGGCTTCATCTCCATACAGCGCAGTAGTCAACATACTGTACAGGGATCGACGAGGACGGTCCATAATGAATATAAGAGTACTATTATATTCAAAATCGAAAGGTCACTTAACGACTGTAATCAACGGAAGTAAGATATGACTTTTCCACAATAAGAAAAGTCTGCAAACGATTTAAAAGCACACTGAAATACTGTCTCCGGATTTCAGCCAGATAAGCCATGCAGCTGCTCAGTTGCATGCTCGTACACGTCGGCACGTCTTCCACTCAGTTCGTACAAGTAGTACTTACTTGTACTTAGGATTCTGGTTAATTAGTCTACCAGCTCTCGACTTCTTTACCTGGCTCTGCACCTGTGCAGGCCCAGGGTTCACCGCTTGCTTAGCTGGCACGGCTGCAGCCGGTACAATTGGTTGCAGTGCCTCGACCGGATCAATGTCAAGATCAAGAACATTATCCGTGGCCAACATCTTTTTTGCCCTTCGTGGTTTATGGGAAAAGTCAAAAACAGTCTCATCGGTTTTTGGCTCTTCCGGCATGGTATAATCCACTGCCAACCTGGGATTATACTTTTTCATCCTTGACACATGTACTTTGTCGATGCGGGCTTTACCGCCACGCAACGATTTTACCACGTAGTTAACTGGGTCGAGTTGTTCAATCACTTCATACCCAGACAACCAGATATCGCAGAATTTCATCAGTTTTCCTTTCAGTTTCTGCTTCTCACGCAACATAACTAAATCACCTCTGTGAAAGGTGATGTCTTCCCTTTTTTCATCGTAACGGGACTTATCACGCAGTTTGCGAAGCAGTTCGCCCGTACGAGCGATCTGCAAGGCATCGCCTAACGCGTCTTGCATCCGTTGCACATACTGGTACACCGGGATTTCAAACTCTTTATTCGGTTGTGGAATAAAGTTTTCCACAGGCATACGCAGTTCCGAACCAAACATCAGCAACGCTGGGGTAAATCCAGTACTGGAGTTTACCGAAGAATTGAATGCGTAGCATAAACCCGGAATATAGAAATCCCAGTCATCTTGCTTAGATGACACGTATTTTGAAATGGCTTTATTGAATTCTCCGATTCTTTTTTCCACCATCCCATTCGCCTGCTGGTGATGGGAAGTGAGCACATGCGCAACCCCCATCAGGTTGGCAACTTCCTGGAAAACTTCAGACATGAAGTTTGTGCCTCTGTCGGAGATCAATCTCCGCGGGCATCCGTACACACAGATTACGCGACGATATAAAAAATCGGCCACCGCGAATTTATCGTTTTTCTGTACCGCTTCGGCAACTACGAACTTACTTCCGTAGTCCTGGGCAACTATTAAATGATGGTTTTTTCCTTTTGTTTCTGGCAATGATGAGTCCACATCAATTGCCCAAACATGACGCGGTTCTGCTAAGGGGACGGTTTGCTCATACCCTCCCGGGGCGGTTAGCCTAGGGTTACGTCTCTGACAGGCATCACATGACTTCGTATACATATTTACTGCTGCGCGCATCTGCGGCCAGTAAAAATGCATATACATTCGCTTGTACGTAGCATCCGCTGCCAGATGCGCAGCATATGGCACATCATGGTTTTCGTGAATCAGCCGTCTTCGCCACTGTTCAGGGACGTAGAACTGCTGGATGAATCCGTTGTTATACTTTCTGCGAATGTATAGAATTCCGTCTTGTACCGTAAGATGTTTCAATGTCTTACGTTGTCTATTAGACATCAACTGTTTCGGGTTTTGCAACAGCTCGAACCAAGCTGTCATCTGCGGATCTTTCTGTTGTTGGGATTTCCAGTACTCCGTTTCTTCAGGCTTGAAGAAATCATATTCTTTGATTTCCTCTTCTTCCAGTTCATGATTCATCAGTGTCATATGCTTGTACAAAGCACATGGCAGTATCACTTTATCTGCCACTTCAGACTGCGGAACGTTCCAGTTCGGCAGATAATCTTGAATGTCGCAGGATTCTGCCGAACTGGGTTCGTTCGGCTGAATCCCTTCGTTACGCGACAGTGCGTCCGCCTCAACGTTATCTTTCCCCTTTGATATGATGATTAGTCATATCATATTCCTGGGATAATATCGCCCAACGGCCTAGACGTCCACCTACATCCTTCATGGACTTTAGGTACTGTAACGCTGAGTGATCCGTATAAACGTCGAAATGACGTCCCGACAAGTAATGCCGCCACTTTTTCAGTGCGGTAACTAGAGCGAAACACTCTAGTTCTGTAGGAAAGTAGTTCAACTTCTGTGTACGATTCAGTTGGATACTCAAGTACTCAATGGGTTTCCAATCTTCGCCAAACTGTTGTTTAAGGACAGCACCGACTGCTACTTTCGAGGCATCGATGTAGAGTCTGGTTGGTGCTTCGGGATCGTAACGGGCCAAAATGGGAGCACTGCACAATGCTTCCTTTATGTCCGTTACTGACTGTTCTTGTTCTTCAGTCCAATTCCATTGAACATCATTGCGTAATAGCCTTGTTAGAGGCTCTGCACGGGTTGCATAATTCTGTATGAAGCGACGGTAGAAGCCAGCCATGCCTAAGAACCTTTGGACATCCTTTACGTTCCTAAAAGGGCCAAAGTTCTTTACGGCTTGTACCTTCTCCCCGTCTGTGTGGATGCCTTGCGCATCGACCACGTGACCAAGAAAAGTAAGCTTTTCCATAAAGAATTCGCATTTCTCTAAGTTGATTGTCCAACCAGCTTCCCCAAGCCTGGCAAGGATTTCATCAACATCTTTGCGATGTTGTTCTTTTGTTTCAGAATAACAAATTATGTCATCCACAAAGATAAGCGCATTTTTCCCTTTGAGGTTTCCAAGTGACATGTCCATGGCACGTTGGAACGCTGTCGGCCCGTCCTTAATACCAAAAGGTAGGACTTTGAACTGATAGGAAAATTCCTCTCCTATCATCGTAGCTTTATGCTTATCAGTTTCAGCCAAACGGATTTGCCAAAATCCGGATTTTAAATCAATTTTTGAAAAATATCTAGCCGATCCTATCTGATTTAGGATGTCGTCGATCCGCGGCATCGGGTAACTAGAACCCTCCAGACAATTGTTTAGTTTCCGAAAATCGACTGTCAGTCGTTTTTCAGTGGTGAATTTTTTTGGGACCAAACAGATAGGAAATCCCCACGCGCTAGTCGTGGGCTCGATGATTCCATCTGCCTGCATTTCTGCCGTTTTTTGTCTGAGATATTTTTTATCTGCGTAACTTGTACGATAAGGGGGCACTCGTACTGGTGCGTGCGTACCAGTATTAATCGGGTGCTCGTACAACTTACAGCATCCGATCGGTCTTTCCTTGCTAGGAATGACCACCGCATGTTCTCTGAGTAGGTTCATCAATTGATCACGCTCGCGATCATTTGCGGCCGAACCCACTTTGACTTTTTGTATAAGACCTTCCTGTTCCTCTGTAACAGAAGCCTGTACAGTCTCCGCATTATGGGCTTCAACCCGGTCTGATGAGTCACTTCCGGTGCCCTCAGTCTTTGGCGGTTCCGCGGTTACGTAACCTGTAACAGCCTCATATGCCTCTACTTCACCAACCGGACGTTGGTTATCAAGAACGTAGGGCTCGAATGACAAGTTTGTCACACAAACTTGCAATTTCCCATTATGCTTAACTCGTACGAGTCCAGCCTCCGGGATGACATGATCATTGTCATCCGGTGTATTACCGAAGA